CCCGAGGTTGGTTCGGTAAGTTTTAGTGATACGAGGATAAATGAAGTACAGCGTTACTGTTCATTGATAGTATTGTTTAGAGTATTATTGGAATTAGAGTATTGTTTAGAGTATTATTGGTCAAACAGTACAATACAGTTTATTGAAACTGGTAACCAATAAGCAATAACAAAAAACTTTAATAAACCACGGTAACAATAAACTGTAACCATACTGGTTACAGTTTATTGAAATAAAGGCTTAAAATTAATGTCGGAGCTTCAACACTACAATCATGGCAAATCTATCGCTCTCTACTCCCGACTCTAGTTGATTTTACTATCCTTTTAACATGGGAAGGAGTAAAGGCTTACACACGACTGTTCTCGCCTAAGACTGCAGTTCCTGGTTAAGTTCAGCTAAGTTTTTCAAATTTATTTATAAAATATAAAACGTTTATAATTTAGGTGCTTGGGATCCTGTTGCATGCATAGATGACGTCACAAGAGCGGGAGTCGCACCCGGGTAAATGGAAAGAGGATAAAAATGAGGACGATTCTATGGATATATTCCAATCAAGGGAATTACCTTCCAACAAGTTATTAATGAGGACATATCCAAGCTCGAATGACGGTAATAATCATCACCTGACATTTCTTCCCTACCGGAAGATTTCAGATCGTCCCCGATCTTCGCTTACAAAATCAAGAAAACATCTAATTCTGATTCCATGCTTCTCATACCTTAAGCATACTGTAATAAAAGTCGTTAAAATAATTGATTAATATAGGAGACAGTTCCTTCACTATGATGATTAATGCAATAGAAAATGTCATGAGACTCACTGCACCTGTACCTATTATAATACAGCCTTTTAGATCGCAGCCTAAACAATAATTAATAAACGACCTAATTAAGAGTCTCCACGTAACGTTGTAGTGACTTGATAAAAAATTAACTATATTGTACCGTGCATTGCGGATAGAAATTTCGCGAAACAAGCTTCAATGTTGCCAATTGTATATCATGAACATTTTTAATTAGTTGGTTAGTATATAATCTTACATATAGAGACAAATTTAATTAGTAACAACACCTCAAGAAATAATAAAATATTCGCAGTTTTCATTTGTTAATAATTGCAGAGAATGTAATCGGGAGGCAACTCAGTAATTGTTATCTGTCCCAGCAACGTCTGGTAATCATGCAAATTCTAAATAAAGTTATGAGTCCTTCCTGTTAATAAAGTCGAATTATGATATGTCTTAGAATATCAACAATAGAAAATATTTTTCTATGCAATGCAAAATGTTCCAGACGTTTGGCCCTTTGAATGGTAAAAACAGCGTCAATTTTTATGCATTAGTTTTGAAGTTGTATCTATCTCACCGAGGAGAGTGATGTAACGAATTAGTTATTTATTTCGATAACTACGGAATATTTTTTGCAGGCCATATTAAGCCATATAAAATATAACTCAGTACTCACTGCAGTGAATGACAGAGCGCGAATTTTCTCGTCGGCGAAAACGTGAAGTCACGGACGGACAGACGGACAGACAGACAGACGGACAGACAGACAGACGGTCAGACAGACGGACCGACAGACGGACTGACGGACATGGCGAGCACCGTAGCGCCTTTGTTTCTATAAATGAGCGCGAATGCGCTTAAAAGGCTAAAGACGGCTTAGAGCATTTCTACTAACTCAAACTTTGATCGTCTGTTACTTTGTCTGCCTTGCACACTGATATTTGATTAATAATTTATTATTAATCCATTTCTGAGGAATAGTCAATGTATGAACATGAATATCCGCGATATAAGAACTGGTTATAAGACAACGAGTTTTTTCTAGATACATTTTGCCACTTTGAGCTAATTGTATTGCGAAAGATGAAGGCGTTCAGTGCGCTCAGCAATATTTTTCTAATAATACTCTCAGTTTGATGACCAAAATATGATTAATTATATAAATACAGTGCGTGCAACTAAGCCGGAATTAATTCGTGGAAAGATTTCCCTCTTGTAGCCCTATGTGTTTGCTGGCATTCCAGGAGACTGTATCCGTACTGGCATTGTCAACTACATGCGCGAGCCACCTGAATCTGACCCGAAATTAAATTACTCCTGTAATAGGCATAGGTGTTCCTTAGCTGCGCGAGGAATTGTTATATTGATTCGCAAACTTTGAATATGCATATGACTAGCTAATAGAGACGAGTTAATTTGTTCAGAACCGCGAGACTATTTTCATCGGTACATAATTTGCATGTAAACTGACTGGTCGGATATCAGCTATTTCAAAATCGTTAAAATCGTTAAAATAAATAGTTTTTAATGCATTTTTACTCATTCGAATAATAATTCGCATGAGTAAAAATATTTATTAATAATATTTTCAATGGTCATATGAATTCTAGTTTCGGAAATGAGCCAAAAGAAGTCGTACAGGTGAACCTTGCTTTTGCGAATAGCTTCGGAAAACATCAACGACTTGGCACTCATTCAATTTAATGCTAATCTTAAATCCCATGACAACTCTAAGCTCTAAACAGCGTAAAGATTTTTAATATAAAATGTAGCGAAGATTACTTTTTCGCTGAACTCGGACAAAGAATAAGCACGTTTGGTATAATAAAACGCAGCTGAAAACCCAGCAAAAATCTCAATTGTATATTAATTTCCTTCGACTAAACGGGATTCTAATAAAATGATGTGCGATAGCTGAAAACACAACAAACAAACGTTCGCTTTCCCTTATTGCGTCATCAGGAATTAAGTATCATACAGAAACAATTTCCTACAGTATCACGTGCATAAATTAGTCAAATTAATACTGGGTAAGAAAAAAATCGCGGAATTTAGTCTTTAAAATAAATATGTTATGTTATGTTATGTTATGTTATGTTATGTTATGTTATGTTATGTTATGTTATGTTATTTTATGTTATGTTATGTTATGTTATGTTTTGTTATGTTATGTTATGTTATGTTATGTTATGTTATAACTGTATTTAGTCTTTAAAATTAACGTGAGTAGACGAGCAATTCAACCAAAGCCATCCTTATTGCGCCTGGCAATAAGGACAACTGATCAGCGAGCGAGGAAAGTCTTCAGACTGAGGAAGGGGGAGAGTCGGGGTATGGCGGTGTAGCGAGAAGGAACTACATCTAATATCTTCAAGGTCTCGGTCAACTGACCCTACGGTTCGTGCACGATTGAAACGACTAAAGATGAAGTTCAGGTAGATGTTTACTTGCAGAAATTAACGACACTTGAGTGGTCCAAATGACGTAGAACGTTAAAAAGGTGTTCCACTATAAATACAGCAATGATGAGCAAAGAAAACTGCGTTGTAACACATCCACGCGACAACATTTCTTCTCGCTTCGAGTCACAAACAAGCGCGGAACAGCCTCCCTGATAGCATCGTTGACGCTCCGAGTATGAACGCCATCAAGAACAGACTAGACGAAGCTATGCAGGAGCATATGTTCAGTCTTAAAATGCCTAGCAAATTACGGACCAGGCAATAAGTCCAGCAACTATCTCAATCAATCGTCAGCTATGGAAAGATCAGGTTCCAAAGGCCGGATCCCTTGTCACGAAAAGTACAAGAACCGGCAACAGGCCGTGGGCCAATTTCTTCAGTGCCGACACTTCTATTCTAATAATGGTGATGATGAAGTGACTACAGACTATGCAGAGTCCGACTACTTCCGAACACAGTTCGACTATGCATATTTTTCTCTTCACTCGTCTCGAGGAGTGCGGCAGCTTGAACCCTTGTACACGGGATTACGTATAGTGGCTGTCACTGAACGGCGCTGTTTTGTCGGGCGTTTTCTCAAAAATCGTGAAGAGGCCAGGCTGTGTGGCCTCTTCATAGCTTAACACAGTTTGGCTGTTTAAGTGGCCATTGTTTTGTGGCTTGATGTTATCTGGCTCACTGATTCGATTCCATGAAATTAAAAGGCACTTAAAGTTTAAGCACATAATTTAACGGGCTACTATGCCCTCTAGCATGATTACGTTCGGAAAGGAATAAGTATTGAATTATGGATATGGTCAGTGCAGGCCTTTATCATGCATCCCAATTCGAACAACTTTATTAATTTCCTCTTCAGTAATTAAAATAAATAATCGGGATTATAATACTTATACTTATAAATGATATATGGAAGCTATTCGGGTTGATTAAATGATTCAGTTCTACACATCACGCACGTTCCGCTTATGGGACCGAGTACCGAACGTTTGTTCAGGTCGTCTTCGTACGAACTCTGCCGGCACAGTGCAAGCCGCGGTATTTTCCCCTAGCTATTCCTTAGTTGTTCGCACTTCCGTTACTTATTGCAGCAGCACGTCTCGCATCAATGTCAACATGTTGCGCTTTCACGAAGAAAACTTTACCGTGTGAAGGCAGGATGTGGAAGATTTGTAGTGGTATATATTCATTCCACATTCGGAGAAGTTATTTTAAAATCTGGAGCTGAGTCTGAAACTCATACATGTGTAATAGTTATGATTCATACAAACAAAACTCGTGTGGGATTTTATATATTATAAATCCATGTGAATGAGTGGTCAATATTCATATCTTAACATATCTTAACATATAACATTTATGAGAAAATTATTAACAGCACGAAGCTTGGCTGCAACGTTTTTTTCAACGCCATTCACGATATTTAAAGTTATGAATGAATGAGTCTTGATTCTCTAGTAAAGTTCCCGACCAATCGCAATGCAGGAGAGGACTTGCCCCGCAAGGTTACGACCAATCAGAGGCGGCGCTGCTGTGACGTCAGACAATGCAACCGTTCCTACAGGATGCTAGGTCGTAGTTCCTGTCCTACCGTTCGCGTCTTCGTTATCTAAGATTAGTTCCTGAGATTTAGCAGTATAAATGGTCGTGTATAGTAACAGTGCCTCAGTCGAGCACTATCTTTGGTTCAAGTGACATGCCCTCTTGTGAGACCTGCCTCAACTAAGACATATCAACCCGAGACAAACAATTAAATATTTTTTAGACATCATGGCTGCATTTAATAATAATTACTGGCCGAGCGACTTGGATGATGTTGAGCCGTAAGTTGTATATTTTGATATCAAAAACATTTAAAAATATTTAATTCATAAGTTGCTGTCATAATATTATTATAAAATTCGTTTGTTTCACATTGTGCTCAATATTCTTCATCGAATGTCAAAGAAAATATATTTTCTACGGAACGTTAAACAAAATCCTAGAATTTATCAGAAAAATGGTTCTCTGATTGTACGAATTTTCAAATGGCCTCATATAAAACTGCCAGCAGGTTCTACAGTTCAACACATGTTCATTGCATTACGATTATTATTGCACCATTGTTTTACTGCTAAGTGCTATTATGTTATCCTGTGTGCAAAAAAATTATTATTTTTTTGTGGTCTGACTCAAGTTTTCTATTGCCTGTTCTGAGTTGTTCACGAGAAATCTTCAGTACAATTATTCAATCATTACAATTAATTGGTAATTAAAATTAATCATTACAATTAATAGATCTTTACAATCACTTGAACCCTTCGCTCAGGGATATTATGGGATATTTAATATTTATCTAATATTATGGGATATTAAATACGGAAACAACACAATCACATTCGTAAAAATCTTGACCGACACATGAGTGGCTATTGATTTAGCGAAACATTAGTGAAAACTTTTATACGATTGATTGTTTTTAAATAGCACTGTTTGTTCACAACAAGGTTACACTCTCATGTGCATCTTAACTCTTTGGGTCCGGATTAATTTAACGTCATTAATGCTATTCGTATATAATGCATGGAAAATAAAGGTCCCGTCAGTACATGTAGAGTTAAGAGTTAATTGAAACTGGTAGCATTAAAGTCTTAGCATTAAAATCTTATGTTAATTAGAGAGTTAATTAGAGAGTTAATTAGAGAGTTAATTAGAGAGTTAATTAAAGAGTTAATTAGAGAGTTAATTAGAGAGTTAATTAGAGAGTTGATTAGAGAGTTAATTAGCGAGTTAATTAAAGAGTTAATGAGAGAGTTAATTAGAGAGTTAATTAGAGATTTAATTAGAGAGTTAATTAGAAAGTTAATTAGAGAGTTAATTAGAGAGTTAATTAGAGAGTTAATTAGAGAGTTAATTAGAGAGTTAATTCAAACTGAAATCTGCTATTCATCCCCAGGTTCAGCGATGCGCCGAGAAAGCTTGATTTCGGAGAGTCCTCGAAGACCTCGTCATTGGGACGGATGTCCATGAGGTTCAAAACGAAGAAATTGTCGGAATGGAACAGGGAGGTGAGATCTGAAAATTATAGGGAAAAAGATTTCATTTAGGGTAAAATAAAATCGGGTAAAAGTCAAAAAAGGGTAAAAAATGATAGGGTAAAATATCCCCCGGAAAAATAATAGGGTAACAGAAACAAGATATCTATAAACCTGCTAGTGGCTTGCGCATCAGTACAGGCAAGATTCGATAAAAATGTCTGAAATCTGGGGGTTTTCCCTGCTTTCGTTAATCACGTTTACAAATGTTTCTACCATTCCACTATTCGCCAGTCCTAAGATTTCAGAAGTGACAGTGATGATTTTAATACAAATAAAATCAAGCTAAAATAATACTTTATTACAGTGAAATTTATTAATTTTTATTACAGAAAAAAATTAATTGTGTTAATGTATATTTTCAATTCAACTAAATTAATCTGGAGAATGGTTAAAAAACATAAAGGATAAATGAAGCAACTTAAAATTTCCCGGATTTCTGTTCCGGATGTAGAAAAAAAATAGCTTATACTAAAATTATTCCCTCTCCAGGATATCGTTGATTGGGTCCTGAACACATGCAAAGTAAATCACATCGAATCTGATGCCGTGAACGTCTTCGGTATCGCTACCCTCACCGGAAACCAGCTAAAGGAAATCTCTGAAGACCGACTGATCGACATAGAACCTGTGTATGGCAGAGAGCTTTACATGGCATTGCGGCCGTACCAACACTGGCGGACATCAGGTAATTAAATATGCAAAAAAGATCATTTTTTATTCGGGAAATACCCGTTTTGTTTTGTCTATGAATTAAAATATCGGTATTATAGTCATAGACAGCAAGATTTCATAACATTGTCTGTCATTTTGCAGGTGGGAGGCTGATTTCAGAATCAAGTGTGTTTAGTTCCATTTCTGATTCTCCACACATTTTCTTTGATCAATACTCAAACAATGGATACAGTGAGAACTCCTACAGCAACAATATGTTCTCGTTAGACGATTCTCAAGGCTTATCCATGGACTCTACAAGGAATAGATACTTTGTCCCAAGCCCCAGCAGACTTCTGGAAGACTTATCGTTATCGAACTGCGGCAGACTCTCACCATTCCCACAATACGATCCCCCTCTTGAACTTCTAAGGAACGAAGACTTGTCCATGTTAGACACATATGAAAACATGGACGACCTCACTCCTGACTGGGATTTTCTAGGTTCTGGCACCGCTCACCAACAAGGATCAAGTCCTTCGCAACTCATGAACTTGGCCCAAGTTTCCGCAGTACAAGGCGCCTCAGCAGTCGACTCACCAACTCTACCAGCGTGCAACTCTGATGCGACTTCTGGTGGTGAGTCGTGGTTCTTCATTCAGATGCAGTTTTACTTTTATTGCATAAGTCCTAGGTCTTGGTTCCGAGTTCTAAATGACATCACCCAACTTTAAGATTATAATTGGCTATCCTCCAGATAGAACTGTTCATTGCGCGTTACTTAATATATCTTAATTACTTAATTAGGAAAAGACTAAATCACAACGTCATTATAGGGAAGAGTTTGATAACAATGGTATACAGTTGGATTATTATTTTTTATGTCTAGACGTTCGAAACATCGAGCAGTCTGACCAGTCGCTCCACTTTTACTTTCGATTGAACGTTCTCGGGGTTACTTAACATAACTTTGCTTTAGAGTTAAAATTTGGATACAGTACCATAGTTCGGCCAACTTGATGAATTAATTGGTTTCATAATCGGCCATGGAACCCAATCTTTTAAAAGGCCTTATATCATGCATCGTTTGATTATGCCATGTTTTCTCTACAATAATTACCTTTTCGAAAAATCAAATTGATGTTGTTGTTGTTGTTGTTAATTATAATGAAAAGAATTTTTCGATAAAATAATTCTCCAGTTTCATAAAAAATTTATCAACTAAATCACACACTATTTTCTCGCAGCAGACAAGAGACGCCGAACCCGAAGCAGCACCAACAAGCCCCGAGAAAGAGGCAAGAAAGTCTGGGAGTTTCTCTTGGACTTGCTGATGGACCCTAGCACCAACCCCTCCTTGATCCGCTGGGAGGACGAGGCACACGGCGTCTTCAGGCTTGTCGAGCACGAGCTTGTAGCTCAGAAGTGGGGCGCTCGGCGAGACCGTAGTGATCTCTCGTATGATTACTTCGCTAGAACTATGAGGTGGGTCTAGTAATAGATATATATGAGTAACTAGATATGTATGAGTAATTGGATATTTATGAGTAACTAAATATTTATGAATAACTATACATTTGTGAGTAACTAGATATTTGTGAGTAGATTAATATTTTTAACTATATATTTATGAGTAACTATATGTTTATGAGTGACTAGATATTTGTCAGCTACCAGATGTTTATGAGTAAACATTTGTCCAGCAATTCATAACCAGAAGTATGAGGCGAGTCAAACCTCATCGATATTAATGAGAATCTTAACTGCAACTAATCGTAACATGATGATAAAAATGCCTGAGAGTGCAATGCATAAGAAAGCTCCCATATAAGATATTCTAGGCTGAAAAGATACAACTATTACCTAGATATAGTATGACGTGAGTGATTGTTTAGTTTAGCGTTAACTCTAATCGTTCATATTTCCGTAGGTTGAGCTCTAGCAATCATTAATATTGGCTCCCTGAATGATAACAATTGTTTTTTTTCCAGGTATCAGTACACTACAGGAATGCTGGAATCTGTTCCAGAACGCAAACTTGTCTTCAGATTTGGACCGAAAGTTCTTAAGAAACTCAACCATCAAATGTAAAAATAATGATCAAACCATGGCCATACCACGTTGGTTATTAGGTGGGATGAAGTTACCGTTTAATTTAATACCTCAATTCCAGGCTTAGCTTTAAATGCACTTTTTAATGCAAAGTCAAACTTTAGTATATTCATCTCAGTTAACTTGCCCGTTAAAATATGTATTTACTATGTATTCGAGTGGACATGGAAGTTTTTTATGCATGGATCACTTGCGGGTAAAACCCTAGAGTAAACTTAATGCGTAAGTAAAGTTTACTCTTTATCATAGATGCAAAAAATCTGATAAAATCTCTAAAATAATTTAACTAAATCCGATGCAACGATTAAATCCGTGCCTCGAGCTCTTCGTTGCTTTTTAGGAGGTGTATTGAAACAATGACTGTGAATTGTAATTTGACAGCGAACTGTAAAGAATTATTTATGAGTTATTATTACGTCTCATTAAAGGTTATTACTCCTTACAGTTGATAGGATGACCGTTAGTATTAAGACTACGATTAAGATTACGGCTGTTAACAATTATCTCCTTGTTATTATTACGTCTTAAATAGTGCAGGGCACTTGATAGCTTAAGGAAGGCCAATAAAGATATTAAGTTTATGACTGTAAACAATAATTTCTTTGTTTTTATCAGGTATGCTCTAAGTCATTACTCTGACAGTCAATAGCTTAGGGAACACAAGTATTAGGATTATGGCTGTGAACTAGTCAGATAAGTTTGTTATACTCTATGTGTTGTGCAATAAAAATATTTTATCTGTGCTCATGACTTTTAAATTTCCGAATGGTTCATAAAACCCATAAAACATACTACGTCACACAATTATTTTCAGCGACTGCCCGGTGATAATAATGTAAATAAGTGCAATTTTGTTTACATTTTAGAAGAGAAATCAGTTTTCCGAGCCAATAATGAGCGATAAAAAGCAGTTTCTATCTATGTGTTTAGCTTTGTTGGTCAATACTGATTTAAAGATTACGCTTGTCTATGTTATGCTTATGCTCGAATTGAAAGCCGTAAATACTTCGCCGCTATAATAAGCGATCGTATTTAACTACAAATGAAGTAAAATTTCATAAAGTTACATGAGCTGATGCAATTTCCTTTGGTTGCGCGTGTTTCTATATTGCAATACACATAAAATCATGAATTTCCGAGGCATTAACCAACAATATTGTGCCGTTTCCTTTTAAATTGCAAAACGTTTGTCAATAATATACATCAAGTCATTAATTTATTTCCGCATCTAAAAATCCTTATTGATTTACATATTCTTATTAATTTTCTTAATATGTCTTCATATAAAGGCCGGTCATAATCTTGTTATCCTTGAAACCGAACTTAAATTCAAACGTCATGATAAACTTTAATAAATAAAAATTTAAATTGGACATTTGTTGCTGTAATAATTTAGCCATGATGCTTGGAATTGGACAGGTTTTATATTTTTAATTTTGTATTTTTGTTTTTTAGAGGAAGTTTGGTGTAGCCTTGGCTGAATTGTGAAAGCGAATGCCTTCCTAGCAATGAGGAAACTTTTGGCTTAGCGTTATAATCAATGCAGACAAGAAGCATTTTTTTCCATTTCAATAATATTGCAAAACGTGATCCATAGTCAAGTTGTATCTCGAATTCGTAAAGAATTATAATCAAGCGCTGTCTACCTCAGAGGCAGCAACGATAAAATCGCGTTCGGGGAAACTCATTAAAGAAATAAAATCAATCAATTAAATCAAATCCTTAACTTCTTTCATGCTAAAAACGTTGGTTTTGAAGCCATAGATAAAAAGCGAATAATTTGCGACATTGCCAATGAGAAAGTAATTCGCGTTGCGTGAACTCTCTGCAAGCCAAAGGAAATCCTTATGAACGAAGACCTTTTCCTCATACGACTTTTATTATACGGACATTTTCAGCACACGTTTTGCAGCACTTCTTATGTAGTCAAGTTCTCATACTTTATTGAGGTATACACATTTGTTTTTAAGGTCAATTTGATGTCACTTGGTTCATTTCCAGCGCGCCTACAAACTGCCAACTTTTCTGATACTTTTATCAGTTGGCTTACTTTGTCAAAAAAATCCTTAAAAATGATCCGGTAAACATATAGCAATCATCTCCCAAAATGAAAATGTTTGAAATATCTATAACTTTATACAAAACTTTTGCCAATGGCTGCAGAATTTGTTAATTGTTAACAGGTAACCTCAATGCAATAGCTAATAATAATTAACGAAACCACAAATGAAGAGGAGCTGGAAAAATCAACGGCTGCGCCGAGATTCTCCCGATGCGACCTTTGGCCCTCGAACCTGTCGGAATAACGTATGCAACATCCTCGTGCATACGTTACGTTACGTGCTACTGGCGAAAGCTGAAGCCCTCGTTATAAAGAACGAGTCTTCAGCTGTCAACCTACAAACTTCCGGATTCGTTCGAAGGTTGAAATTAGTTACTAAGTAATTTTCAGTGAAAAGCATAAGACTATAAAAACAATACCTCGAGCGTGTATTTATATCATATCGGAATCTCATTTTTAAGCGTTACAAAGACTTAATTAACTTAATAATGAATGTTGTATATACAAAACGTCGTAGTATATTAAAAATGTTTCGTATACGAAACATGAAAATAAAAAAAAAACCTCTATTTGCCAAGGCCAGCAAAAAATATTAATGGAACCATCGGAAAACGAGCAAGGAAATCAATAGCAATAAACATTCTCTACCAAACCTGCTTATGTAAACATGTATATCTAATGCATCAGAGTACAGCAAAAAACAACGTCAACAAAAAACAACAGAGTGCAGCAACTTTTTCAAACAAAAAAGTGCCAAGGTACACAAATATAGATGCTTTATTGTGATAGCAATTCAGCGGTTTCACTTAGCAATAAACAATGCTTGATTATCTATAGCCGCAGGCCAGGGAAACTGAAGAGCTTATAATTATCCTAAAAATTGTTAATTCTGCATGTGAATAATACACCAACACGTTGCTCACCCACAGATCATTTAATAAAATAACGATTTGAATTAAGTAAAATACTCTTGACTTATTACAGCTGTTTCTTACTGAGCGTTACCAGCAAAACTATTCTTTTGTAACTGGAATAAATCAGAAAATATCTCATTAGGAAAATATCAGTTCACTGATGTGAGGAACTTACAACGAGCTTTGCATGCCTGGCGCATCTGCTGTCATCTGCGCACAAATACCGTATGCGCATTTTTTAAGGGAATTATTTTGTAATAAATTAAATTTTTCACGTACAAACAATAAAATGTGTGGTAAAATTTTGCTTGCAGAATTGGACTGATTTTTTTCGCTTCGGGACACATACACTGACGTCACTGAGCGATCATCCTGCATGTCTGCATAAGGACTTGTTATTAAGATCTATATTTTCTCAAGGGGTTTGATCCCTGAGTCCACCATTAAAGGTATTCGCGTTTTTCGTTCCTGTTGTTCCAATAAAGTATCATTGGTGCTGAGGTGTTCTTTCCAACCTTCACAGAGGAATTCTCAAACGTTTTTACTTCCATGCTGCTAAAAAGTGAAATTTAAATAGAATAAATAACCGTTGTTACTTAATGCATTTTTTTTCAAATTACAATTAAACTATTTCAAAAACAAACATTAGACCAGTAATGACTTAGTTATAGCTCATGTACCATAGTTATCATATTCTAATATCTGGTGGAGGGCTGCTATTCATATAGAAAGGGTATCCACAAGGAATGTGACTTCGCCAAAATAGTGATGCACTTTTTGCCCCAAAGTGGGTCATCTTGATTCAATTTAACCAGTAAAAAATATAACTCAGTACTCACTGCAGTGAGTGACAGAAAGCGCATTTTGTTGTCGACGAAAACTTGAGGTCACGGACGGACGGACAGACAGACAGACGGACATGGCGAGCACAATAGAGCATTATTTCCATAAATGAGAAAATGCGCTAAAAAGACGCACCAATGCTGAACGCAGAGAGTTTGTCAATATTTCGACAATTTGACACATCAATTATATTATCTGTGCGTGTTATTGTTGATTGAAAATAATTTCTTTTGGTTTAGCTGCAGAAAAATTTCTAGTTTGCGTACTCATGTCTTGCTTCAAAGTTTTAATTAAATTATTACGAGAATATTTATGCCACGCTTGATCTCATCGTCACTGGAGTTCAGCGAGTAAGGCTCTGATAAAACATCTGCTAATCAGAAGTTTGCGTAGAATTTTTCCATTTAAGATTTAAAAAGAATTCGTAGTACTTTTCGATAAACTCTGAAAGTGTTTCACAGCTTGACTTAAGTTGGTGATATTTTACCATGAGAACTGTGCACAAATTGGGCGCACGTGTATTTTCCAACCGGGCTAATATGATAGAAAAATTTGAAATTCATTTCATTGCAATTGTTCTTTTTAGGCATAGGTAACTAAATGCGGGGTAATGTAATGATCAAATATTATGTTAAATCTGACAAAGAGATGGTTTTTAACTTCTATAAAATAATGCATTACAGCGTATAGACATGAAAAACGTAATAAAATAACTTAGGAACGCTTTGTTCAAATTCAGTACGTACCTTTAACCTTTGTATATAAAAGTGAAGTAAGTAGAACATGGGCGGAAACCACTGATCTTTTCATTTTAGCCCCGGAAATTTTGGCCAACTCGACGGTGTGATTAAGAGCTTTGTTTCCTAGGCGAGATGCTGTTCCGAATTGCCTGTCAAGTGAGCCTCATTGAGAAATCCGAGTAAATCGCTCCGTAGATTTATTCGTTTGCGTACCTGATCTCGAAACTTTTTTCTCACACCAGAACAATAAATACGCGGCGCCGGAACAAACGGTTTAGAAAAACAATTCAATTTAGTCATATTAATTCTATTTTTTAAACTTATTCACTGTTTCAATGATTTTGAATCCAAGTTCGCGCGAATGTTGAATTTACATATAGTGTGATCTGTGTTTTACGGTGAAATTGTGAGCTTGTTAGCGAACTTAGTTACTAAAAATTTTATGAATATGAGTCTACAATATGCGTTTCCTATATATAACGATGTTGATCACAACTAATAGATATCGCTCGCTCATTGAATTTAAGAGCAATTAAGGTTCAAGACCCAAAGAATAAAAATAGCAACTATGCTTATCCTAACAAAATTTAGATGCGAACCCGACTCTTAAACAGGTGCTGCCCAGGGGTCATAATTCAAAAAAGTTAGGAGATCTTAAGTTCATCAGCCAATCATTGACGGCCTTTCAAGCAAAATCCATCAATCATAGACAAGAAAATAAAGCGTAACTACTTACGTTCACTTAGCGAATTTTGAAAGTATGGCCCCAGGACTCGGGGAGCTCCTAAATCAGCCGCTATTATGATCGCTTCGGCTCTGGGTTTGAAGGGGAGTTTCTCGGCAGCTTCCAAGCTCGGTATGACTCGGTTCGGCAAATCCTTCTCATACTCTCACCCAGTAAAAATTTTCAGACGCGGCAGCTTCTGATTTGGATTACCAGAAGCTGGGGCAACTCTAAATGTTGTTACCCAGTGAAAATTTACAGACGCGGCAGCTTCTGATTTGGATTACCAGAAGCTGGGGCGACTCTAAGTTTTATTAGGGCAGGCAGCGATAAAGTTGGAAAGGAAATTCTGACCAGAAGTTGATGTCGATCGGGTGCACAAGCAGAAACAGGATAACTTTAAACTGTGAGTGGCGATTACTGGGTAGAAGCCCAGACGGTACCCGAATTTTGTTAGGAAGTCAACCCCGGAAATTACAACTCGTGATCTTGGCATGAGCTCTCTGAGAAATTTAATTGCATTAAGGAAGGGAATAAATGCTGAACATTTTGGGGTGGGGAAAAAATATTACAAGCTCGCTGGACCATTACTCCAAGCATTAAAGAACCCAAACTTTCGCAATTCATGTTTGAAGGCTCAAGAGAACTGCATTCAACCTTCAAAAACATATTTCCATTGACAAAGTTTCGATAAAAGTTTGAACTTGGAAGTAGTAAGTTAGGAATAGTTCCGGAGCAGGGGCAAATATTAGTATTGGAGCCTTATTATTTTAACCGATTAAACTTCAACATTGCAGTCCATGTGAAGCAGTCCATGAAGCTGGACTGCTTCACAAAATTTGAAGCAGTCCATGCAACTTTATATATGAATTTCCAATGTTGAAATTCAAAATTGCGATTATAATAGAATAATATTATCATTTTAATTTATGCTAATTAATATTACATGGATGATGCCAAGGTAATTCTGAGCGCCTCGAGGTAATGCGTGGAATAAACCATGGAATTCCTGGATGAAATGTTTTTCTTTCAAGCGACTTTAATCTTTAAAGAAGATGAATTTCGTCGCTTGAAGAACTTTAATGTTCTTCAAGCGACTTATTTGTCTCCCTCTAGTAGCTTCTTTAATTTGCCTGCACTCGATCAAAAAATCAAAAGATATTTTTTTACAAATTTGCCCATGTATGACCATAAATTCTTACGAATGTTTATTTTAGAGGCCAAGATGAGATTTTTGGCATAAACCGGGTTCTGTACACATTCAAATACATTTTAATTTCAGCGAAATTATCTGGAAAAACAGATTAACTTCGATAATATTTTGAATAAGATGAATTTTTAAAATAAAACACACAGTCAGCCTTACTCGTTTTATTTTCAATAAATATTTCTTTTCGTAATTTTTGATCACATTTTGATTGGAAAAAGGCGGCGCATGATATATCGGTCTTGAATGTGAAAGTGATGGGTATTTGGGAGATTCCTTATAGTTTATGACTTGAAGATGTTTAGGGCATTTTGTAGAGGATAATTTCCTGTGATTATTGAGAATGCGTAAATGAAAACTTTATTCTCGAAGCCTCATTGATAGAGACATAAAATAAAGGGCTTGTGAATGATTATTAATCAAATGCTGATTTTAAACGGCACTCGAATTACTGCATTATGATGTATAAATATAAAGCATGTTATTAATAAGTTAGAAAGCAATGAAGACGTTAAGATTTGATCTCATCTGAATAAAGATCTCTATTATGAATAACAAGTCGAATTCTCCAGGCTTCTTCTCAAGCAATAACTAATTATTTTGCTTTGCTTATCCCCCAAAATCTAGGAGTTTAGCAAATTTTAGGGTCTGCTCTTGAGACATACTGAGTTCAAGTCGGTAAATCCGGTACAATTTTTAAAGGTTAACAAACTTCGCTCTCTAAACAGTCACTTCATTAGGACAAGTTCAGAACAATAATTCTATTTAGTTTGCAGACATCAGACGTTCAGAACGCTACAGGTCCAAGTCACGCAGACTGCAATCATGAACTTCTTATGAAAAATTAAATACTCAAGATATTGCTGAACTGTTTCATTCTGTCAGATGCCGATAAAAATTCAAATCCCTCACATTAAAGGATTTCTTGCGAAGCTCAGGGCAATTAAGGCTACGGAATTTCTTTCGCAGGCTAAGGCCTCGGAATTTCGCCTTAAGGTCTTCCTCGAGCCGCTGCAAATTTCGAAGAAACCGTGCCTGCTTTTTCGCCACACGCTCAACACTTATTATGAACTAAGTCAAATATGATGGTGGAATTCAATTAGAAAAAAGCTAACGAGTTGTTTATGAATTTCTAATCGCATTTGGCAATGATTTCCATGACAAAACCCATCCTTTGTATTTCCAAGGAAATACAAAGGATTGAATCCTAGGGCGCTAAATAGAAACGTATGCAATAACGTTATGATAACATATCATGTACATTGAACCATGTACACTTTTGTTCTTCTTGTAGTTCTAGTTGATACTGCACCAGTTCTTTGCCGGGTGAATAGTCATAAAAAACTGCATCCAAATTCAAACAAGATTGGAAATAAATTTTCAATTTAGGGGCATGAATCATCACTGCACGTTTCAAACTCGATCAACAGCATCCAAACATGATACTCATGTGGTGAACTAATATCCAAAACCGGTAAATATTTTAATTCATTTTCACTAGCTGCAAAAAAAATTGACAATGAAATTCTGTCGGATAATATTTGTGATTATTAGGCCGATTTCCATATGCATTGGGGACTGGAACAGATCTTGACAAGTATCGTTTGTGTCACTGGCTGTTAAAATTGATAGAAACTTGCAACGAAATTCCTTTTAAGTGCCTTGCATGTCATGTATGCTAAAAATAAACGTCTGATAATCATAGCAACAAATTCTAATGTTTGATGAAAACAAAAGAAAGACAAGAATAATAGCCCCCAAAATATCTGGACAAATTCATTGATGAATGTTCTTAAATATGCCTGGAGATTTTAAAAGCAGTTTAAGAGGTCGAAGTGAAGAATGAAGCATGTGGAGCGAGTGGTGGAGTGATTGGCAGGTGGAGCGAGTGGTGAAGATGTCAGCTAGTGGAGCAAGAATTGAGCACGTGGAGCAGATGGTGAAGATGCCATCACATGGAGCAGGATGCATCACGTGGAGCAAGAGGTCTTCACGTGTGGCAAGAGATCATCACGTGGAGCAATAGGTCATCACGTGGAGCAAGAGGTCTTCACGTGGGGCAAGAGATCATCACGGGGAGCAAGATGTCATCACGTGGAGCTAGAGGTCATCACGTGGAGCAAGATGTCATCACGTGGAGCAAGAGGTCATCACGTGGAGCAAGATGTCATCACGTGGAGCAAGAGGTCATCACGTGGAGCAATGTCATCACGTGGAGCAAGATGTCATCACTCGTAGCAGGGCGCCGGCTATATCACTACTTCTACAGGAGGTACAGGGTGCGGGGAGTTAAAGTTACACAACAGATTTTGTTTTGGCGAAATGGAAGATTGGCACTATAGGCGACGCGCGTTTCACCACCTGCAATGGAAAATAAGATTAATTCATATTTCTAGAACATTTGGTCAATTTACGATTCCAAAATGGAATTTGGTGTAACTCCTAAAAAACATAAAACGCAAAAAAATTCTTAAAATTACCGTTGAAAAGATGATTTTAAATTATTAAGCACTCACGAATAGAAGGCATTTTACAAATTATATTTATTTTATCAGAATTTTGAAACACGGAGAGCAGTCTAAAGGTCCAGATAATCTTAACTGAATTTTTTAATTAGAATTATATTCCTTAGTAAAACCCGTAAGATGAACGACTCCATATTACATGAGCAAATCTTCGAGGTCGTAAATCATATGTAAAAAAATTAAGCTATATAATATTTCAACTTTGATTCTTTTCGAATTAATAAATTGGAGGCATAGTTTTTACATGCAAAACAATAATCATTCGTCACGTGTGAATAATAGTAAATAAATAATGTCTAATACTGAAAGAGAATAATCCTAAATAATATAAGAAAAATAAATAAAAACAAATGAATAATGATCTATCCGATGAATTCTGCCATTAACGTTATTCGTACCATATTTTAGGCTGGGCACCTCTACCCTCCTACACCACGGTGCCCCAGGCTGGGCATCACTACCCTCTTACTCCACGGTGCCCCAGGCTGGGCACCACTACCCTCCTACACAACCGTGCCCCAGGCTGGGCACCACTACCCTCGTACTCCACGGTGCCCCAGGCTGGGCATCACTACCCTCCTACTCCACGGTGCCCCAGGCTGGGCATCACTACCCTCTACACCACGGTGCCCCAGGCTGGGCATCACTACCCTCTTACTCCACGGTGCCCCAGGCTGGGCACCACTACCCTCCTACACAACCGTGCCCCAGGCTGGGCACCACTACCCTCGTACTCCACGGTGCCCCAGGCTGGGCATCACTACCCTCCTACTCCACGGTGCCCCAGGCTGGGCATCACTACCCTCCTACTCCACGGTGCCCCAGGCTGGGCATCACTACCCTCCTACTCCACGGTGCCCCAGGCTGGGCACCACTACCCTCCTACACCACGGTGCCCCAGGCTGGGCACCACTACCCTCCTACTCCACGGTGCCCCAGGCTGGGCACCACTACCCTCCTACACCACCGTGCCCCAGGCTGGGCACCACAACCCACCTACACCACCGTGCCCCAGGCTGGGCACCACTACCCTCGTACTCCACGGTGCTCCAGGCTGGGCACCACTACCCTCCTACTCCACGGTGCCCCAGGCTGGGCACCACAACCCACCTACACCACGGTGACCCAGGCTGGGCACCACTACCCACCTACACCACCGTGCCCCTACCCAGTGAAAATTTACAGACGCGTCAGCTTCTGATTTGGATTACCGGACTGGGTGACTCTAAATTTTGTTGGGGTAATTACGTCGGTGAATTACCCCCACTAACTTGGCCATGGAGTCCTGCTGGTCGTCCTGCTGGGCGTAGGAGCTGAGCACCTGCTGCAGGTTGCTGTACGCGACAGGGTTACGCGACAGCTCCTGCAGCAGCGCATCCGACAGAGGGTGGAGGGATCGCTTGCGGCGGCCGCTGTGTCCCAAAATGAATTTTTTTTAATTAGTTTTCATACAACATATACACTTACATCACGGTGTAGGTGTATATGTTGTATAATGTCACAGCGGCCGTTTGCGGCGGCCGCTGTGTCGCAAAATGAATTGATTTTTTAATTAGTTTTCATACAGCATATACACCTACATCACGGTGTAGGTGTATATGCTGTATAACGTCACAGCGGCCGCTTGCGGTGGCCGCTGTGTCGCAAAATGAATTGATTTCTGAATTAGTTTTCACACAGCATGTCATTGAAGTGAAGTTTATCATTATGTGCTCAAAGTAATCAAATCTCACGGGGAAGAAAGGGAGACTTTACTGACTGTGTTGCGATGAGAGACCAGTGTTTTTAGTGGACGTTTTATGGATATTTTGAAAAAGGGAATTAAAGTGCATGCATGAAGGTAGATATTGTTGTGAAAAAACCGGTCGTTTTAGTCTCTTAATGTCAGTTATAGAGCAACAGAGAAATTCTGACAACATTTGCTGCACAATATTTTCCTTCCTCGTAAAAATTTATGAATTTAGTGAGCCAATTTTGTTATCCGAAGAGTTTAATCCTGATTTCCAAAAATAACTTCCCATCACAAAGGTGAGAGACATTTAGGTATTGAATGCATAACTCAATTCTTGACTGAACTACCGTCGCATACAGGAATTCGGCATGAATTAAACTAGCATGAAACGTCTCACTTCAAAAGGCTGTGCTCAGTACTCCAGTTTTCTTGGACGTGAAGTTATAAACATGAGTGAAAAGTGAACGTGGAGTGAATGTGCATGGGCTTTCAAACGTCCAAGCAAGCAAATAGGCAAACATTGAGGCAATTCTGCCGACTGTTTACTCATTGCAACATTCAAGAGGCAGGTGAATTGCTGTGCAATAATTTATGCTGCTGAGAAAACGAGTGCGTCTCAAGTTGACTTTGGAACTCTGGAAACTTACTACGTCCAAATTTGCGACTTTAATTTATGTTTGACTTTCACATTACTCGGAAATTATCATTTCCAAGCTGTAAGTTGGAAGTTCACGTTCCATAAAATCATGTATTTGATTGAAATGACGAGGAATTGTGTTGATTTATATGATGTTATTGATGTATGAATAAGTTTTAGCATGCATTGAAGAGTTTGTAAATGATTTAAGTTCTACTGTGTAGGGTAACATGGGGCAGCGAGCCCACTGCGGGTCATGGGCCCATAGCGGGTTTCTCGCTAAGTTATATCAGATATTGGTCCGTGTTCTGTACCGCCGGTAGACAGTTTCACTGGGATGAAGTGTACGGATTTACGATTTGCTAAGAGTTTGCGTTATTAAGTTATTTGTGAATAACTGTTTTAGCCAAGATAAATTTTTTTTGTTGCAAAATAAAACTTTTTTGGTTACTGTAGATGAAGCTTTTGAAATTACTGTGAATTGTATTTGAAAGTAATATTTATAGGGATAATTTTGAGATCAAGTTTAGACTATTAGCTTTTAAAATAAAAATGTTGACTCGATATAAATTGAAATGATACCTAGTGGGGCAACGGGCCGCGCGTGTAACGGGGCAAAGCGCCCATGGTGAAGTCTTGTGTTATACATCATTAGATTTGTCTCAATGACCTTTTCAAAACTATGACTAGCTTTTTGAATTACAAATTACACTTCATATCGCATGATTTTTTTATTTGCCACCTCAAGGCAGCAGGTTTAGTTTCTAGTTATGCGTATTTATGACCCCTTATCGAGTTATTGACTCTTGCCTTGCCAAAAGTTAATTTCAGTCAACACAAATGAGCTAAAAGTTGATGAGTTTTTATGGCATTGGCTGAAATCACGATTAGGTACTAATTCTCTGCACATAATATCTGGATTATGGACGAAACTGGAACGAAGTTTTTTTAGTTTCATTCAACTAAATATATTTTTTCTAGTCAAGGAAACATTTTTTCATGTCAAGGACAAATTTTTTATCGCAAGGACATATTTTTCAAGTCAAGGATATATATAATATTTTTATATCAACGAAATATTTTTCTTCACGTCAGTGATAGATTTTTTAAGCCAATAGTATATTTTTCAAGTTAAGAATATGATTTTTCGAGTTGTTAATAAATGAATGAATGTCATATTTTATTACATTTTTCTTATTTTTAGCTGTAAAGTGTTGCTTTATCATTTTTAAACAAAAAATATGCAATTGTGGTAAAGGGACCAAGGGTGGGTGCCTTGCCCCAAACCCATGGGCCCATTGCCTCAGGGGTTAGGCAATGGGCTCATTTTGACACCTTTTACAAAATAGTGTTTCATTAAAAATTGAATGAATCTATAGGTGTCTAATTCACATCATACATTCCTCATTAGTTGCACCTTTAAACAAAGCAAAGAACCACCACGTATCAATTAAAACTTCATCAAAAATTTAGTTTAAAAAAAGTGGGGGGGCGCTGCCCATATTGCCCTACTAAATTTTTAGGAATGTTAAAAACGTTCTAGAACTCGCAAAATTTCTTCGCAAAAATGGGCCCCAACAATGCATGCAATACATTTATTGATGACGAGTTGGCAATCGGGGGCAAACAAGGACACGACGACATGACTGGAACTCATTCATTCGTTTTGACTGGAACGCATACATTCGCCTAGAACGGAACTAATTCATTCGCCTTGACTGGAACTCATTCATTCACCTTGACTGGAACTCATTCATTCGCCTTGACTGGAACTCATTCACTCATTTGCCTTGACTGGAAGCCATTCTTCCGCCTTGACTGGACCCCAACCTTCCGTCTTGACTGGAACTCATTCATTCGCCTTTGTAAGATGACAATGTTGATACCATTTGTCCCTGGATATTTCCTGATTGATGTCTTCCTTGTTGAAAGATAAGATCCTTCACATGCGATATGTTCATGAGCATTTCCTTGTATTAGCCTTTCCTGTTTATCAAATCACGTCCTTGGTGACGTCAATTAGCGTAGCTATATGAGCTCTGCCCAAACCAGGAAACTCAGTCTCGGGCCGAGAACCGTCGTGTATACGCCCATACTCCTGTCCCTAACAATCAGGACAGTAACTCTAAATTAATGTCAGAGTAGAAGATACACTCTAGACTTATCCCTACTTCAACTGGACGCCGAAGACATCTGTGTTAAAGCTCCAACTTATAAACTTATTAACTGATTATCCTAACCTGTAAGCCGAACTATAATCCTAAAAGTATATTATATAATCGTTTTCGCTGTCCCTCTATATCCTCGGATCCAGCTACAACCGAACCACCCTCAGGTCATACTTAATTACAATTCATATAAGGGTTGCATAGAAAAGCAACCTGTTACAGTACGGTTACCGACCAGTTAACAACACCGTACACTGCATGGCGCCCGAAATCGTAACCTTTTACACCTTGACTGAAATTCATTCATTCGCCTTGACTGGAACTCATTCGTTCGTCCAGACTCATTCGGGTAATGAATGAACTCATTCAGGTAATGCGCGTTAGACGGCAATTCGATGCTGCGACATCACATAGGATTGCCCAGGGCGCACATAAAAAGCTGCTACAACTGCTCTTAACGTGCCAACATCAATGTCTCAAATAAATATTTGAGATGCTATTGTTGTCGATATTGCTTAAATGAATTACTTAAAATTTGTAATTGAAAGTATTCATAATTCAAACATACCATATTAGTCAAAAAGTACAGAAAAGATACGTCGGCATGGCTGTAAAAACTCAGATATTGCAACACAGGCAGCGGTGCATATTATTTGCATTTTTTGTATTTCGATTCCTTCTTCCATTCTTTAGTATCTGCAGAAATAAATCTTACGATGCAAAATACGCAAGTTAAGGACGATCATATTAATTGATGGAAATTAGCAGTGACCACGGAAATGGAAACGAATTTAATCAATAAGGCCAGACTGGGACTCGGATCTAAGTCTTTTGTACATCAGGTAATGCAAAATGAAATGTATTGTTGTCCCCAGTTGAATGAAAGTGCAGCAAAATAAGAAAGTTCAAAGCACAGCAGCCTGTATCAGAAAATTCATCTTATGTTTCGTATAACCATATATAGCTATGCAACTTATATTATATGGGATGTCCAAATAATTAATTCTTACTATTATCAATTACTTGCGCTCAACCAACGTTCAGTCTTTTAATCAACACGTTACTTAACAAACTATTCCAAATAACATTGATTTGCATACAAAAATGATTTTCGCATGTTGCATCTTTACAACTGCGCAATTTCAATTTTAAGAACAAGGTTGCTACGTAGCCATGAAGCATCACCAAACTGTTCACAATTTGTGCATTAATAATTTCCTGTTACCTTACTTCTGCAAACCAGCAAGCACAACAAAGGCACTTGTAGCGAGAACAAACATGGGGTAAAAGTTGTAGCGAGAACAAACATGGGGTAAAAGTTGGCCCCTAACAGCAAGGCTTCCAGCGCGATACTTCCCCTGAGATGCTTTCATTGCGAGACAAAAGAGCTCCTAGGGAAATAATCGATCCCATTTGCTCCCAAGAACTCCAAGGAAACTCGCCGGGTGGAATTTTTCCCCGATAAATAGGGAAAGGAGTCTTGTTTTGGCACGGTGATTAGTTGAAATTTCTTCAGGCGACGAACGTTTTATTTATTTTCCGGTGGTATTACCAGCAGATGTTCGCTCGTTACATTTCTCATGTTTCGTGTAGTGCATTTTTAATCCAAGTAAATTTTGTCTTAAATAAACAAGCAGCTTTAAAAATTCCAATAATTTCTTATCTATCGTTGCTCATCCTCCGATTGGAGTCATCGTGGCGCCAAAATTTTATTTATTGAGAATCAATGATAAAATGTACTGTAAATTTTGGTTTTACATTTACAATGCTTCACACAGATTCGAACTCGTTACAGCACTAATTTTAGTTACATAACTTCGACTTCAGGAAACCAATGTTATATGCTATCCTTCTGTTCGCAAGCTCGTATCTTCTTCGCAATTTCTCGATCGCTGATTATTTGTTTGAAGGCCGGAAGACAAATATTGGTTCAAAGGCTTCTTTTTTTCGCTGCTGTCAACCTAGTGCGTCTAATCATCTAACAAGCAAGAGAACTCAAGTTTTTCGCAATTGGCATTTGAAGTTTGATGCTCATTTGTAGAGGATGAAAATTTTTTTTCTTTCATTGCACGAGTCACTCGTCAAAGAAGGTAAGCCTCGTCAGTTAGTTGCTCAAAATTGCAATAATTCGCCTTCATAAGAACTTATAAGTCGTCGCATCTGTGCAGGAACTTTATTTTTAATTGCATAATTCTAGTTGACTTTCAATTCTGTCAAAGATTCGTCATATCAAGAGTAAAATCAATGACTGAAACTCGCTGTTAGAAAAGATGACGTATTTCTTTCGCGTAACGTCTTTATATTCCTGCTTCTTTCTTTGCGCAGCGTTAAAATTATTATTGTATTTTACTTATTTCAATTAATTTCAGTTTGATTTATGTAATGTTTGAAACACGTAATCACGGGGGAAGTAGTTGTAAAACAATTTAATTTTTTTTCCTATTTTTACGTCCTTTCTAAGAGAAGCCGTTTTCGATTATTACTCAAACGTAGCTGGCATATTTAGTCCTAAGGTCCAAAGATTTCAAAATATATTTTAAATTCCTATCAGACTCTCGCTGCGAATATATCACTATAAATTATTGCATATATATAATACCATACACGAAATTTAATGAAAATGTTCCAGTCCCATGGTCACTGTGCCGTATTATCTCTTGCGCTTCTAACCATGTCATACTCATATCAGTGACTCTATACTACTGAACCATAAAATTTGTAGCGATGTTGGCAGCTGACTCATAAAGCCATCAGACCGCAATATAATAATCCAATAACAATATAATAATCCAATTTCTTTACACATAGCGCAAGCAAAGAGCGGACGTAGCACTGATACGCCCTTTTCTACCGGGCCAAACTGGATCAATCCACACAAAGGTGAAGAAAGTACATCGATATTTGGACAAAGCCTCCCTCATGTCACTGAGTGTAGACCAACAGGCAGCAACACCAAACAGACTTTATATAAATTACTAATAAATAAATTGAAATAAATTATTGTTATTAAGTTATTCTCACATGGCATGGGGGTCGATGAGTCCGAAGCCAACAGGCATCTCAGCCATCCTGCGGCTGTTGACAGCCATTGCCAGCAGCGTCTCGAGCTCTGCCAGGCGCTGGTCACTCACGCGCTTCTCTAGGGCGAAGCTGATGACAAAAATATTAATAATTACGTCATTGTCGAAGATAGAAGACTAATATTTACGAGCTAAATGTTATTTATGATAAATTGTTAGGATTAAAAATTGTTATTTGAAAATTAGTCGCTTGACCAGCGCTTGTCGCCAAGCGCTGGTCACTCATGCGCTTCTCTAGGGCGAAGCTGATGACAAAAATATTATTAATTACGTCATTGTCGAAGATAGAAGACTAATATTTACGAGCTAAATGTTATTTATGATAAATTGTTAGGATTAAAAATTATAATTTGAAAGTTAGTCGCAATTTCAATTCAAAATTTTTTTGAGATCAGCTCCAATAATCATCGAGAATGTTTCGGAGACATCGAACTCTCGGATTTAATAAAGTAAAATTCATAAGGGTACAATGAGGCTAAAGCTCCTGTAGCCTGTTGTCTGCACAAGATAGCCTTCGCTGCCGAAGGCTGGAATAATGGAATTATTGGCGTAGGATGAAGGAACGTTCCGGCGGATATGTTGAAGTCATCAATACATTTTCATGAAACACGTCCAAACAGTTACTTATTGAAATAATAATAATAATAATGACAATAATATTTATAATTATTACCATAATAATTATAATAATAATAATAATAATTTTGGATAAATTTGTTGATTATATCTAATAATTAACTCTAAATTTTCAAAATAAGTGGTGCATAAATGGCCAGAATTGTTCAAAAAATTATAGTAATGTTTGGTCGTTGGTTGAACTTGAAAGAAATTTTGTAATGTCTTGAAAGCAGCAGAATAAGTTATTAAAAATTACATGAGGTTTCCATTTCTTCCATGTGCACTGGAAATAATCATCTCACTTACTATCATATAATGTTGAGTTGTTAATAAACTAATGTCGCTTCACGAGCTATTCATTTAAGGCTTAAAACAGCTATTAAAAAATCTCTTTGTCTTTTCGCTTCGTAAATTCGAGCAAAACGAAGAGTAAATGCAAAACACTTAATTTGTAGAGTATTAATTAACTAACATGTCATTATTATCCGCACTTTAACATAACAAGTTATTATACATTATTATTATTATTATTCATAGTGAAGTTAGCATTGGCAAGGAGTACGTGTTGTTGGTAGTTTCATGTAGTGCGGCTGCTACGAGAGACGCTTACTAACATGATACGTTCCTAAAACTAATACATTAAATATAATAATCTAATAAACATGAATTATAATGAGTAAGCTTTATTCATTGCACTTTACCAACCCTACATTCTGAAATATGAATGGGTCATTTGCCCAAACTGCGACCCACTTCATACGCATAGCATTTTTACGAACTTTTGCCGACTCAAATATGAGTCAGGATGACCCACAGAAGTGCAATGAGTGCATCGCTGCTGGGACAAAGTCTCACTTATTTACCCGAGTGTACTCAGTAATTTGTACCTCGCGCACGACACGGCAGCTCTGGAATGGCTTGGCCTCATCGAATGGGAATTCAATCGAATATGTCAGTCTGCCCGCCATTGAGTGATGAACGCTGCCGATGTCCAGCGTTAAATTTATTTTGTCATTGGACGGAATTCTGCTTTACTGAATTTAATATACATCGTTTGCTTGCAATTTAATAGATATTGAGCATCCGGTCCCTCGTTCATATTGAATGAACGCAGCAGTGCGGATATTTTAATTCTGAAGTATTGGTTAGTATTTGCTGATATGCTTTTGTTGTCGAGCTCTAATTTTTGAATTGTTCGAAAAAAATTTAAAGAAGATGCGCTCTGAATAAATTATTTTAAATGTTATTCTATTCATAATTATTAAACAAGAAACATTATTAATTATTAAACATTTTAATTAGTCAAGTATTAAGTAAATATACGTGCGTTAGTTTAAATGCCGCTGCACTGTTCAGGCTGCGTTTACCAGATTAACGACAGCATCACCAGGTTTAATAGGAGGCTCTTGAGGAATCGATCTCGACTTAATTGTTACGGTCTGACTTGAGAAGGTCGTCGCTTTGCCTGTTCTTGTTCATGACAGCTCCAGTGAGGCGACATGTTTCTCACAGCCAAAGCCTTGCTCAGTGATGAATAATAGATGGATAATCCAGACTTGAATTTCCTCGGTTAGTTCTCGGAAAACCTTAGCAGCACTTTAAGAATTTTGTATGCTGAAACATAAGACGAAATAGCTTTGCAATGTCCTTGAATTTGAAGATTTTCATATTTGCTCGTCGTGAATGACAGCAGTAATGCGGGAAGAGTTTAAGGTGAGGCAGATCAATATAAAAGTGCCTCAACAACCTGAAATTTATGTTCTTTATTTGCAATAAAATCAAATTATTTAATTTCCGCTTTTACATAAAACTGAACCGGGATATTGATGAACAGTGTCGTCATTGTGCCTAGCAATAAAAGATGACAACGTTTGGTCTCAAATCTTTTGTCATTCAAAAGTGACCACAGAGTACCCGAATTTCAGAGAAATCTTGAATAATTCAATGCCTCTCAATAATGATTTTAAGGGACCCCTTGATATTGTTCCTCAATAACTCATAAAATTGCGTTTCATGTCCATCAGAATTTTAAAAGTTTACAATTTTTCCAGTTTCGATACCAGGATCAACATAGATTTAAAATCCACTTCAACTTTAAACTCTAACAACTTAACTTAGGAACTTTGAAAATAATCTAACTACTGCAGATTCTCACATCACTTGATAATAATCACTCGCGTTGTAATATTACAAGTGCAGTGACCCTGTTGTGGAACGTCGCTGGCAATAAATTATTCAGATCCAGCTGTAGGAGTTCTGGCAAGACCTCCACTTCAAAAGGAATTCATCGCGCTCGGCTTCATGACGCTGACCGCTGGTCACAAGTTTGCTTGGCTGCGCGACTTGATTTGTCTCATACGACGGCAGTTGAACTTTGATACTGAATATCTTCTCCATATACGCTATATGTATTCATTGTTGCTTCCCCATGAATATAGAATTTATAATTCTAATAACTCGGCGTGATGGCTTATGAGTTAACAAGATGACAGGCTGAAGAGTTAATCGCTTAGAAACTCAGTTCGTTTCAAGATCAAGTTTACTCACATCCCAGCTTCACATGGACAAAATTTATTTTCGTACTGTCATTATTAAAACTCGAGACAAGAGATTAAATCCAAGATCTCGATTTTAAAATATAACAATACCATTTTTATAAAATTTTCTTTACATATTTCATCATATTTCAAAACGAATGAGAAATTTACAGATGGCTCTATGGTACAACATATGAGCGTAGTACTGTTCTTTTAATAAGTTTTATTTCCTAAAGAACATTATCATTCAAAATTCATTTCAAAATTAATCAAAATGTTCGCTAAATGTTGCCTCTCTTCGTTCCAATATGGCCCAAATGCCCCGGATTATTTTGCATGGCCGGAAAAGCTTCTGAGTTCATCACGGCCGTAGGCAGATACTGGGGAAAAAATGACCTGCGCCGAAAGTCTAAGAATTCGAGCAGCCAGGCCAACAACAAAGGGCTGCCGAATTTTTAATCGGCCAGTTGATGCCGGAAGCTCGAAATTATTTCACTTCAAAAGAGACTGAGCTATCACGATAGCCATTATTATGAAAGAACATCTTTTGAGAAATAATAGTTAACTTTATTTCTTCTTTGAGAAGATTGGATGCTTTAAAGTTTACACCGTAATCGAGCGTGACCTTCATCGTACATTGCATATCATTAAGAAGCTCCAAGCCTGTCACGGAACTTTAACCGGAATTCAAAATATATTCACGAATTTCTTTCCACCTTTTCTTTTAACCTCAGTCCATTCTGTAATCAGAGGTCAGATATTATTATGATCGAATTATTCTAGTTCATATATATTAAATAATTCACTTTATGACATTATAGCGGAATGATTCCCTGATCTGTAATCTAATATACTAACTTAATTACCGAGTTTGAAAACGAAGCGCTGCCTCCTTCGAAGCCTTGCGCGTTATCGGCGCTAAATTTCGTTAGCACTTCAATCTCGCGTGCCGATAACCGCTCGTGCTGAGCTCGCGTGTTTCCTTCACAATATCCACTTTAAGGTTCAGGTATATATAAAATATTCTGTAACTTAAAATAATATACAATATGGAAATGAACACTCGAGCCTTGGATTTATCAACGTCATTATACGTGACAATAATATTTATCAAGGATGAAGTATGAGGTATTTTGTTTAGTATTATTTTATCAGTATTTTATCAAATATTAGCGGTATTAGGTAGTAATTAATCACATAAAATTGGTAGTAGACAGTATTTATTATTTGCTAGCCTTAGTAGCCATTTTTCATACGAATCTAAGCGGGAACTGGTCACCATTTTTAGCGCATTTTCTCATTTATGGAAAAAATGCACTATTGTGCTCGCCATGGTCGTCCGTCCGACTGTCTGTCTGTCCGTCTGTCCGTCCATCTGTCCGTGACCTCAAGTTTTCGCCGACGAGAAAATGCGCTCTCTGTCACTCACTGCAGTAAGTACTGAGTTATATTTCTTATGATTCAAGAAAACATATTTTTTGGAAGAATACTTTCATTTTTTTTCATTCCTGTTAAGTAATTTCACACAAGTGCAGTCCACGTTCCTTCGTGGTTTTACTATCTATTTAACATCATCCATTCCCGATTGCTTGAATTGATAGCAAATTTTTTTCGCGTTCTATTCACAACTTAATCCTCATTTACAATGATAACATATAATTTTATTTCTACGAACTGGCGATGGAGCTGGACTCCGAAACGTTTTCTATAAAGATATGAATTTTTGTGGACTATTCTTTACTTTTAAATTTTTAGTTAACTTGCGATTTTAGCAAATAAGTGGCATCAATAATTTTATTGATCATATACTTACTATACCAATACATAAATTAAATTAATTTAAATGAAATTAAATTAATATTAAATCGCTTTCAATGCAATTTTACTAGATTCACCCAATGTCTAAGTTGAAACTCACCCTGACTGCGGTCTGGCTGCGGCAGGCGGCAGTAGCAGCGCACAAATGAGCGCCGCGGCGACGACGGCAGCGGCGCTGGTGCCGGCAGTGCTGGAAGAAACCTGTAACCCCAGATGTGTTACTCGTATGCACGGTCATTCATATTAGCAAATCATTCATATTATCGAATAATTCCCGGTGCCGCAAATATTTAGTAAATCGTGTTGAAAAAATTATCTTATTAGTTGTCATTAAAGGGTGATTTAGTGTCGACTATGTGATTATCAATCTCATCATGATTGTAAAACAAAAGTTGCGTGTCGCATAAAGTTTTGTTCGCTGCATATTGACGGACTATCTAAGCTAAAGAGCAGGTTACTCATTCAAATAGATTATTATTTAAAGTTTAGAATACATTCAAACCTCTAGAAGTATTGAACTAATTGATTTTGGAAATACCCATGTTGCCGGCTCACTTGCGAGCGAACATCATTAATTTCAATTTTCAGTACGGGGACTTTTCGGGACAAACCTCTAAAGATATTTTTGTCCACTGCATGACCGACCATTCATTGCCACCATCACCTGTTAAGATATCAATCAACCTCGATATATACTGAAGTATTTGAATTTATTCGGCCACCTTCTGTAGTTGAATTTGGTCTCCTGCCCTGAAAAAATTTCATCATTGCACGAATAAGAACAATTTTCAATGAATTTAAATTGATTTGCGATCTCGCTTTTGTTTACTCGTTTGTGTGAGGAAGTTCAAATTCATCGCAAACTAACAATAATCGCAAGTACAATGTGCCTGAAAAATACCCTCGCCATGCAGTACATTATTGCATACATACACGATCGAAAATGGAAAAAAATCGAACAGCCCGTGTTTGCAAAAAAACTCTATCTAGATTTATGCTTTTTGATTGCCAGTCCCGGTGTTTTATGGCCAATTTGCCTGTTTCCGACCGAGTTGCCAATACTGCCACAGACTGGGCTGAAGTATGTCGCTAATGTTTGCCGTGAACTCAATTGTTGGAAATGTTAACGTTAGTTGTTCATACTGTGAGCACCGGCATATCAGATGCGGTATTAGCGCTAGAAACGAGACCTCAATTTAACTCTGCTAATTTAATTGCAATTCAGCGTCAATAGACACATAGGGATTCATGTTCCCAAGACCAAACAATAATAATTTTAACTTTTTCAAGTTACAAAAGTTAAAAAGAAACTCATTTTCAAAATTATTCCTAAATTTCAGACAATTCTGTGGTCAAATTTTTATTTAATATACTTCTTTACATTGATTCTTCAATGTTGTAAAATGAAAGTGCCTAAGTAACAGAAAATGACTGCATCAGATTAAATCTCCCGATCCTCCAAAAAAAGAAGTTCCTATGGATAGCTGTTCTTCATAGATTTTGGCATCACTTTCAATCAATGAATTTTGGTCGTAAAGCTCATGAAAAGTCTGTAAAAGGTTGGCAAATCACATTTCGGAATCGAATCAAAGTTTAACAAACCTTATTCCATCAAATTTTTATTACCAGCTCTCCAAGCATCAGCTCTGTCCTTTAATGTAAGTTTTTGCTCTCATACTAAGGATGATTGGCGCAGCATTGACTGCATTTCCCTACAAACGAGCAGGTGGAGTGCCTTTTAAAGTGCCTGTTAAACTCGTAAAAAATATTGGCGATCGGACCCTCGTGCCTCCTTGATGCGTGGTCACGAACTGCTCGATGAGGAGAGTCTTGGCGTGTATAACGAGTCGCATGTGGACAAAAATTGCACAGGTAAATATCAGAAATCTTTTCATTGCTCCTTTGAAGTCTGTTGAAAGAACCGAGCCTCTAAACTCTAATCAGAAACGTGGCCTGCAGCAATATTTTCAGAGATCAATGCTACGAAGATCTTCGACTTCTAAAGGATCGTTACATGTAAATTCAACTAAGTTTGGAAAATTAAAAAAATATATCTACTTACATACGACGTATGCAAGTAGTTCATTATTAGCTACTAAGTCTTTGACCACCTTGGTGTAGTACTAGAAAAGCTTGAAAAGCGTAGTATTGAATGTTATATGATAAATTTATAAATTTGTATCATCATTTCTTTGTCTGATTTAAGCAAGGAATGAACTACTATTGTTGTTTTCAATATTCAGAATGAATTATGCGTTGCTTCTGTCAAGAATCGTAACATTGTAAAAATTATATGAGAATAAATTTTGTACTCTGTCATCTTGATCTTAGTTTAGATTGACATCTAATAACCGCATTGGAAATTGAAATAGGAGAGAACCATGCTAATAACACCCCATTAAAACTATTGAGAACGGAGGAAACTATAGCTATTCTGCGCTCGAAATCTAATCAAGATATTGTGTTAAATAATTTGGGCTGCATAGAACGTTCTGAAGGAAATTGCGGCCATTATCTCTTGAAATGAATGCAGTCGCCCACCCCCACCGTATTAAGACGATCACGGCCAGATTAAAAACGCTGCGACTGTTTCATTATGGCCGACATGATGGAATTTAGAATCAAAATTTACCTTAATTTTTCACATGGACGAGCTTAGTTGTGAAAAACAGCGATTTTATGAAGTGGGCGATAGTTGAATATAATCTTCTTAATAAATGATTGTCAATAAAAATACTCCTGGAAAATAATGAGATAAGTGACTGTAAAATGAAATGAAAGCTTACTTTGCAATAATAAAAAAGCGTTTATCTCAATCAATTCACTGTCGAGTATCTTTCGTAATTTTTGGGTGCATTCCTTCTCATTAACTAATTTTAAAAGTAAGAAAGAATGGTTTTCTTGAATATAATTCGAGCAAGACCCAGGCTCGTGCGAATGCCAATGAAACTTATTCAAACTCTGCAATATTTGTACAGTTCTTATCGGCCAAAATACGACGCTATTCTTTTCTGCACCAAGTGTCCTGGCATGCAAATCTCTCTGTGGTTGCGTGCATATCCTTACGCGATTTTGGGAGCCTGCCACAGCAACGCACGCCACCTGTTAATGCAAAAGGGTGGCGGACAGCTAATGCTAAAAAAAGGGTGGCGGACAGTTAATGCAAAAGAAAGCTGTGGCTACCGAGCTGTCCGCGTGGTGTGCTGGTATATTGGCCTTTGCTTATGCTGCAAGCGACACGCATATTTATATTTGCTGCTTGGCTGGAGCAGAAATAACCGAGCGAGTACGCTTTTCATGTCTAATGTATGACCTAGAATAAAAGATATGGGGGAACTGTTTGCATTACAGGACTATGTATTTCTTAACGTGGACGATACAATATCTGAATTTCCAAGTACAATGGCTTGGTCACTTTCACAGCTAATAAGCTTCTCTGCAAACGTATGGTAGTCTTTTACTAAAGAAATGGCAAGTATAAACTCGCAATTCAACTAGCCATTTTTGCAAGAACTGTTTCTAAGCCAACAACAATTCAATTCAGCACCAATCCAAAAAATAATAATTTCATATCCTGGATCCTCAATTGATAACATGTAAATTTGGAAAACATTCATGCATTGCATTGGAGATGTTTTTAAGAGCCTTGTCCTTTACACGGCTAGTAAGAAAACGTGCTTGAACGGCTTCATGGTTGCTGTTTACCACTAAATTTATAACGGCCGAGATTATAAAGGCCCAGTCAGAATGCATGCAGTTCATTGGATTCATATGTGACGGGAAAATTTAATTGTGGCGGATCGACGATGTTTTCGATCATTTTCAAGTGTATTTGGTGATGGGGAGCGAATGCAGGGGCATATTTTGTTTGGTATTCAGAGGGTCGCAGGTAATTTGAAGATTACACATGCTTGAATTAAGTAGCATAAGCAGAAAGATTTTCAAGTTCAACTTATGCCGGGACAAATGATTATGCTATATTGTTTCTCCATTTTGATTTTGCACATTTTATGTTTGCAAGCTAGTTGGCCCAGCGTGGCTCGGGCTACATTTAAAATCCCTGCAATTTTAGCTTCAGTTATCCCAAAGCGCCTAATTTTCAATTTCTTGAATCCCGTTAATAGTAGTAAAGCTAATGTATCAAAATTATAGAAGACCCCTTATACTCACATTTCAAATAAAAATTTTTATTTGACTTTTATTTGACTTTTGTTTGAAATTATGCAAAAAGATTTCATTGTTTAAATTAAATGTATACACACCCATTTATACTATCAAATTACGGTCAGTTTTGAAATGCTTTACCATTCTTCCACTACGAATAAATTTTCAGGTCCAGCTAATATCCTTACATGGTGAATATCCTGGATACGCACCCGAACCGCCTCTACATATTCGTGAGGCTCCAAAAACACACAAACTTTGTTAAATATACAAAAGAAGTAGTAGGCAAGATCTAGAAAGTTGCGAAAAATATAACCGTACACCATACATATGTTCTTTGCAAAAGATCGTTAGAAACCCCAATGTTGAAATAAACAGATTTAGAACACCGCAGAAAGAAAATTCGGAAAAAGTTAAATGTTCTTGGTATTCTTTTTCTTCTAATTTCGAAAGAAACCTGTTGTAAAACGGAAGCAGAGAAAAAATGCTTTCCTTGATCTCCGAACCGGAAAACTTTCAACACAAGCAAGCGGATCGACGCCATAACAGCTCCATTCGGCCGAATAAGAGGACGGTCCATTCGGGGGCTGAACTGTGACGTCAACAAAGAACAAGTGAGGAATTTGTCTGCCGAGGAGACACATGTCGGCTGGAGTTCAAGCCTGAAGCCTAGAGATGTAAAAATCCATGGTTGGGTCATTCAAGGCAAAGAAATGACTGGAAACAGGAGAAGAAAGTAAAAAGTGGTGATAATTCAACACATTATAACTACTTATTGCAGGAAATATTAATATTATTTGAAAAAATTGTTAAAAGATGTGATTATATTTACCAGAGTACGGCAAATGATTTTCCTCTTGATGCGTAAACCCCATTCAAAGTTTAGAAAATAGCAGAAAGAAAATGTCTTCAACCTTACATCGTTCACCTATAAAAAATTTACAAACATTCATGTAAAGTTTACACAGTTGTCTTCAATATTTTTTTCTATTGTATCCATAAAATCTTAAAATAATAATCTAGAGCCTAGCTAACTT